CAAAGGTCAGTTTTCTTCAAAATTCCCCACGATGGCATCTCTCTCTTTAGGCAGATAGCCCTTGCATGCGTTACTCTATTTAATAAAAACTTAATCTGACCTATGTGCCTAATTACAAATATTTTAACATACATAATTTTATATTTACATTTAGCCCATCAAGTTTCAAACTTTTCAAATCTTATAGAAAATAAATTTTGGCAGATCTCTTTTAGCAATTTTCTTAAAATCTATATCTTTGTAGTGTAACTGCTTAGAATTTATAAAACAAATTCATAATCAAAATCGCTGTTGTTAGTTATCGAAAAATAACCAAGATGTGATTTTTGCGTAAATGTCAGTAAACTATACAAATTGCTATTATCCATCACACTATGAATGTTTCTTTCATGCGAGAGTGTCCCTTTTTCGATTTCTATGGAATTGTCGTGTGTCGAAATACTATCAGAATCTTGTCAAGCGAGCTTCTGAATGTAAACAAAGAACACCCCGTCTGGTGACCCAAGCTTTAAAGCAGTGCTTCACTTCTAGCGCGGAATGGCCCCTCCTCCCTTTCCTACCTCCATGGATGAAACCTAGTTTTACAGCTGAAGTTTCTACACTTCTGTCGTAATTTCTTCTGCAGTAATATATATATTTTCTTCCAGCTTTCTTCTCTTCGTATATAATTTTCTTTTATATACGGTTTTACAGATTAACTGGAATACTACTACGACGACGAAGACGGTTAGCATGTTCATTTTCCTAAACAAAAAGAAAATATAGCAGAAATATATAGTCTTTTTGGTATAGTAAACATTGTAAATAAAAAAAATAAATAAATACATGCTATTAGAAATTAAAAAAATCAAATTATAATAATAACGATATAATTTTTATTCCGCACATTTTTCTTTTCGTATTTCAACGTAGACATCTTTCGGTTTAGGACCCGGTTTATTTGCCTTCGAATAATCGGAAGTTTAACTGTAATTGTATTTGATTATTAATACGTTAAACACTTTAAAGTACAACACATCCCTTTTTTTCCTTGCAATGATTATTTACCGTTTATATTTATTATTACTTTGCTTCATTTTAACAATCATAAATAGTTGTTGGTCTGATGTTCTCAAATTATATTTCACGGAATTCTGGGTTTCATGCAGGTTTTCTTGGGATTCCGAAAATAAAACTCAAAATTCGAAAGAATGTTTGAATTCTAAGTGGATTGCAAAACTAAGCATCTAAAACAATTAATAAAACATTTTTTTACTGAAATTATTGTTATTATTACTCAAAACATGGCGTAAATTTTCAGAAGTTAAATTGTTATGAATCAAAGATTTTTCTTTTCGATTTACACATAAAAAAAGACGCACATTATTTTTAATTTTTTTAACACGTTTACTTTGAGCTATTTGTTGAAATTTAAAAAAATCATAAATAAAAGTCTGAATTCCTAAAGGTAAAGAATTCTGAAGACTATTCAGTCCGGTTGTAAGGATGCCTAATATTCATTCTGGAGATCCGGGTTCGATCCCCATCACGTATGAAAAGCACAGTTGTTCATTACTGGGACCACCGCTTTGGTCCAAACATGAAGTGATTGTCTTCTCCTTAAAATAAATTCCCATATATATATATATTATATTAAAAAAGTATTAAGTAATGCATTGTTTAATACTTAAAAGCAAACAAAAAATGCATCTGCAGAGTTTTAAGGGATAATTTTTTCTTTTAACAAAAATCCAGCAGTGAGGACAAAACAATAATTGATAACATTTATTACTAGGGCAATCAACTAACTTTTCCTAAAATATCGTCTGCTTACGGATATAATTTGTTTGCAGTCAATTATATTAAAAAATTATTTATTTATTATATTAAAAAAGTATTAAGTTAATGCATTGTTTAATACTTAAAAGCAAACAAAAAATGCATCTGCAGAGTTTAAGGGATAATTTTTCTTTTAACAAAATCCAGCAGTGAGGACAAACAATAATTGATAACATTTATTACTAGGGCAATCAACTAACTTTTCCTAAAATATCGTCTGCTTACGGATATAATTTGTTTGCAGTCAATTAGTGCTTTGTTCCAAAGAACATCTACTGTGCAAATAATTTGATTAAATAATTATACCTCAACTGTTATTAAAGTAACGACTTGTAAAGTGAGCTTTCATTTTAAGGAAGCTAATATAGTCTTCGGCTGCGAAATCTGACAAGTATGGAGGATGGCTAAGAACCGCGATATTTTTAGCTGCTACAAACTGCTTGACGAGTTTGGAATCCTGTAGTCGCGCATAATCACGCAGCAAAAACCACTTATTCCATTGTACTTTATTAGGCCTAGAATTAGATTCAGAAATCTTGTTTGCGTCTTTACAAATCTGGATTCAAAGTCTGTGCCTCAACAAAAATTTCTACTGATTCCAATCACGGGCACACCAAGTCTTTGCTCGAAATTTCTGCAACTGAGGTGAGTCTTCTCAACATTAACAGCAAAGTACAAATTTCATCTCCACTCACAATTTGTTCCGAAAAAACATAGATTTAAAGTTGGATCAAACTATTTGTTCAACATTCGAATCAACGGTAGCAAATATTCGCTGAATTAAAGCTCTATAGACCGCAAAGAAAATTCTGTTCATAAGCTGACGATATTTTAGGAAAAGTCGATATATCATAGTAATAAATGCTTTCAGTTGTCGTTTGGCAGGATCTTTTTAAAAAAATGTCTTAAAACTTTCTAGACCTACAGTATATACCATTAACAAAAGTCGAATCAGGCCATTCGTCATAATTGTATTTACGAGTGTGTAACGTCACAAGCCCACTATTTTTTTTTTCCCTTCATTTGGGATGGCATAATAAAAGGAGTGAAAAAGCTCGTACTAAGCGGGACGAACAAAACATTATTTTTTCCAACCCCATCATGCCAAAATGCCCTAGTCACCAAGGGTTCACGCCCCATAAAACTAACCGTACCTCACCGGTAGTTAATTTATGGCATATTTAATTCCTTCCTTTCTGAATCTAATAATGTTGGAAAGATGGAAGGAGGGAGGCGGGAGTTTTTCTTTAAAAATTAAATAAATAAAAAAAGAGACTTCCACTTTTACATTTGAACAATGAAGTTCAATGGTGGCTATGGCAGTTGTTATCCAGCACTTTTCCCCCCTAATCCATTCGGTGCCAGGTGTCCAGGGGGTCTCTCATAGGACCCCCGCCTTTATGTCACCCCTAGTTTGGGGGCACAACCAACTGTTTCTGTCCCGGGTGCAATTATCTTAGTTATCGTCATGAGAAAGTGGGATTTTGGGGAGGTCTACAAAGGCTGAAATCTGTTGATCAGGGCACAGGCATGGTGACTGAAGACTTAGAAGCTTATTGAATTATGTCGAGCAATGAAAGCAAAACTGGATTCTGCAAGAAATTACGCGTTTGTCGCATTCATAACACAATTTCTTGAAATAAACTGATACTGAATGCATGGGAGTTCTTGTAAAGGGAGATGACAAACGCGCTTTTCATAAATTAATTTGCATTTCAAAATTACAGTCCAATTTGTAGTTAACATTTTATGGATTTTTCACTCAAAACATAAAAATGAAAATAATCAACGCGATATTAAATAATTTTAGAAACTTCGTATCCGTTGCCAGAACCGGATTAAGAATTTTAGACGAGCTTAGCATTTAAAAGTTTTGGGTGCCCCCAACATATATTTACGCCAGTTATTTTTAACTCTCGGTTTTCGTTTTAGCTGCACCATACATTCCATGATATAAGTGGATCAGAAATTTTTGTGTTGCCTTCTTTCCTGAGTTCCTAAGTACCATTTTGTGGTGCCCACTTTCTCTGATGTGTTAAGCACATGCTTATTTTATTGAATGGTTAATCCAGTTGTGTCCGTTGGCGCTCAACCACACAGAGAGAATACTTTTTGAGAGCAATATGAGCGAACGGATTGCAACATGTGATTCAAATATTATGAGGTGTAATGGACTCTTAATTTTCTTTGTATGGCTATTTTGTCATATTTTCCTATGTTCTAAGCATCAATAATAACAATAATATTTATTAAGTAAAATTAAATCTACATAAATTTATTAATTTAATGCCAAATGTTGCATATCAGGAACAACAAACTTGCCAGAACTACAGTTTGATTAAAACAAAAACAAAAACAAAAAAAGCTGAAAAAGAGATTACATTAAAATATTCAAATGTGTTGAACTATTACCACCTAAACAAAATTCCTTTACCGACGTAAATTCCGAAATCCATGACTCTTAAACAATTTCGGTGCCTATGATACAAAATTAATCTTCACTGGCTGATGAAAGATGCAGTCAGATAGGTAATTTAAATTGGAAAATTTTCATATTTGCTCTGTCAGGTGATGTATGATAGGTTTTTTTGTATTCAAAGGAACAATAATTATGGAAGTAAATTTTCTTTGTGAAATATCCTGAACATTCAAACTTTAATACGATATTTTACACAATCTTTCTATTAATTTAAAAAATGAGTGTTACATTTCTGTGTTCAAAGAAATAACTTTCGAAGCAAGTAAAATATCGTCTTCTTAAAACTGTAATATGATGTTTTACAGAATCTCTTTCATTAATCTATGGCCTAATACTACACGAATAGTGTTTTAAATTAACTAAAAGTGTAATTTTTTAAATTATTAATTAAAAATTACATTTGTGCATTCTAATTCTAGGAAACACTAGTCCTGGAAGTAAAATCTCTCTTTTTTTTTTTTAAAATACACGAACATTAAAATTTTAATATACTTTATACATTATTTCCATTAGTAAAGAATTCCCACTGAATAATCTGAATACTTTTTTCACTTAATTAAAAAAATCATGCATTTAAAAATTTCCTATTCTTGAAAATATTTTTCACAATCACTATTTAGCATTCCAAACTAAATATTGAAATCATAAATAAAAACATGTGGGATGGGATAAAATAAAGAATAAAAAACAACAAAACAAAATATATGGTTCAATGTAACAAGTTTATTTTACATTATTCAGTCAAGCTTTGGATTACAGTGAAATGAAACTAAGCATTCCATACTATGTACAAGTCAAAGGCTGCTTGATCTTCATTTCTTTTCTTTTTTTTATTTTTAAAAAAGAAAAGATAAAAAGGTCAATCAGACTAATTTTTTTCTTAGAAATAAAACACATATATTAACACAATATACACTACAAACACATAAAAAAGAAACTACGCACAGCTTTAGGCTATTCTGACATGCGCACTCAAAAAATATACATGGGGGAAGGGTATGAGCTTTCTATTATAATACAACAAGGCACAATACATCATGCATCGATTTTGAAATGAAAGAAAATGCACCCAGACTCTTGTACAACTCACTAATTACAAAAAATCTACAATAAATAGCATTTAAGGTAAATGGATATTTGCTCTACCACAACGCTCTGCTATATATTACATCGAAGACAAATTTCTTTACAATACTTTACACATAAGCCTGATACTATAGCACCTGATAATATTATCCCAAGTTAAAAGAAAATTTTGAGCAAAAATTTAAAATACTCCTTGCGATAATATAAGTATCTAACATGAATGCAATAAAAATACATATTAAAAAATTCTTAATATCAACTATATGGGCCTTTAAATTTTATCACATCTTTTTTTTCTTTTTAAACTATCACAAATGCAGACATCCCTTAACATCCTTGTCTTTATATATATGTATGTGAAGTCTATATAAGCAATAAATGACATGAATTGGCATATGGAGGAAGGGAAATTATAAATGCTGTTAATTTCTGCGTAATAAATTTACTGGTACAGAAGTAATTTAAAAAAAAAAAAAATCGGTATTCACCAAAAATTTACTCGGAAATCCAGAATTAAATGCCACTAGCATAATAGCTCAGCACCTCTCTATAAGGAGTAGTATCTCTGTAAATCTATATCCCGCAAACACACATGCGCACATTTCAACATATTTACACACACGCATACATACACAAATCTATATGCACATAAACTTAGATAATCAAATTCTAACTCGCAACTGATATCAGATATGATTTTACCAAATGTGGAGAACCATAGAAAAACCGGGGAAGCAATGTTCAAGCGTTAACACATACAAACACATATCTACATACAGAAAGCCTTTCACATTCATTCACATTTAACTACACACACAAATATATATGTTTTGCTTTAACTATATTTATAATTGATATAGAGCTCGTCAGCTTGTTCAAGACATAAAAATTTTTTCTGATTATAGACTGAATATGCAGAACTGATGAGGACTAATAGGAGGCTAATTCATCACTCTAAGATTGAATTTCTGTCTAAATTTCTAAGCTTTAAATTACCGAAATTTCTCTTCTCACTTTCCCACTGCTATTGCTGCACTTTTGTAAACATCAATAAATTTCCTCTACAAAGTTTTAAAGCTCTGCGGCAAGCTAATAGCTTATTATTTCTCTGTTAAAATTTAATTGAAAATACAGAAAACGTCTTTTTTGATAAAAAGTAAAAAACTGAACTAATCTTTCAAAGATTTGAAAGAAAATTAAATGATTTTTTTATTAAAATAATGATTAAAAATTAAATTTTTTTTAAATTAAAAATAAAACTAAGTTTAATTTATTTTCTTTCAAGTCTTTGAATGGTTAGTTCTTATTTCTTTTACTTTTCTAGTCTACGAAAGAACAAAGTACTCCTATTGTTAAAACTTATTACAAATGAGTCTAGCCAAACTTTAAAAACAGTATGAATCGTGACATGATAGTGCCACATACTATACAGCATGAAAATGCCTCGATTTGTTAGGACAACGTTTTCCTGGTCGTGTGATTTTCATAAATACTGACGTTAACCAGCCGCCCAGGTCTCGCGAATTGCGGCCATAATATTTTTTTTTTCCTTTTGAATTCGGCAAAGTCCAACATCTATGCTAATGAACCATAACCTACTTAATGAGCCACCTTTTTACACATACACAGCTGTATGTGCATACAAATCTGCAAATATATATAAACATTTCCTCGCACGTTTCCATATCAAATGAATGAAAAATAAACAATGTGAAAGACAATTTTAATTAATTTTATGTAGTACATGACTGTTGAAATAGATATTCAGAAAGATATAATAAATATTTTAGTTTATATTGCTGTTGGAAATGTCTCACCATACGCACACACACAAATACACAGACTCACACATATATCTTTAAATGCAAACATACACATGCACGAACATTTACACGCAAACACACACATACACATATAAAAGACAAATCTAGTTATACCCTACATCGCGTTTGGCAATCATAGGCATAGTATAAATTAATTCGAATGAGATCAATTTCGCCGGCTAGAGCAGGTATAGCTTTAAAATGAGATACCAGATTTCTTTTAGTACTAGTGTTTAGCAACTTCCTGCGGCCAGTGCATCTATTTTCCTGATTTGTACAACATAGTAACGTTCCATTTTAAAATACTTTTTATGAAGACTGAAAGAAAAATACTTTCGCAAATGAAGGGATGTTTGCATATTTTAACAATTTTTGGCCACTCCTTAAAAAATCAGTTCGATTAAAAGAGATATGATATTAATAAGATAATTACGAACCATCTTAGAAACAACGTGGTGGCAATGTAGCCTCTTGAGTGGACATAATGCTAAGACAAGGTAAACTGAATTCTCGATAAAAAAGTTTCAAGTTTAAAATTTTTCTTATGTATAGGAAAATGTATATGATGTGTACGATGGTTTACAGAACCCAAAACCGAAATTTATAATTCATCTCTTAAAACTAGAATAACAGGAATGAAACTTAAGTTCTGAATTTCAGCAGCACCAGTGTCTTTGCGACAGAGGGGCATTTAAAATCTTTCGAGAGACTGGTGGTAAGGAAAGAATACGAAAACCTTGATTTTTATCCTCGGAGGAATCCTAGTTTAAAAAACCGCAATAGACGCAACATATCTGAAGTTAAAAGCTATAGCACTCTGAAATACGATATTTCGTGTTAGATTATAAAAGACTCTAGTTTAAATTTGTTTCCTTAAATGAGGGCTCTACTTTTGGAAACAAAGTGAAATAATGTAGCTTAAGATTTTTCAGTACATTAAATTAAAATGTAAGCAGCGTAATATAATTGAAGAAGATCGCATTAATACAGTTAGTCAGTACAAGCGCCCAAGTTTCATATGAAAAATTACACAGGACATAAAATTTTTCCCTCTTAACCACAAAGTCTTCCTAATTCTTTCTACTTTATTGAATAAATATACCGAACTTATTGATATCAGTATATTTTTGTAGGAATTAAAATATTATATTAGAATAAACTGGAAATTAACCACGGAATTAAAATTACGAAATGAGTATTAGCTGTATTTAAATATGAAGTTACTTTTATACAAAAATTTAGTCTGTATCATCCCTATCAATTAAAAATGTATGGAAATAATACACATTTCCATTCTGGATAAAATGCCCCTAACGAGCAATAAAAATGATGTATTGTTAAAAAACACATTTTAAGTGCCTTCGAGAAATGTCCACTCAAACAGATTTTGTAGTAACCAAGATTAAAAAAAATACAACTCATATCTATACGATAAATTAATAAACGACAACGCACTATCACACTTTGCTTCGAATGCACCAAGTTTTTGAAGACCCTGAGATTCTTCCTGAATTGCAAGTATATTTGAAATCACAGATGAATAATATGCAAAATTCATAACAGAAATAATCAATTCATAAGTGTAAATTAAATTGTCCAACTAATGCAAAAAATTTAACGGAACAGTCTCGCCTTGCTCGTCTATCTGTCAGCCAATAAAGGTTTGGAAGTTAAAAATCACCGATCGCACTTTAACATATACTAAGAAAACAGCACAATTTAAGGAATTAATAACGATAAAAAATCAACCTTTAAGAGTGGGTGCATTTTGTTACGTAGAGATGGGGGGGAAATGCAATGGGCAGCTTTGACATGTACAACAAAATAACAATAATGATATTAATATACCTACAAATCTAAAAGATGAACTTAAATAAAGTTAAAGCACTATTCATACAAAACGAAAAATAATAATAACACACGCGAAGAGATTTTTAAAACATGAAATTTTAAAAAATGATACGCTTAGTTATCTTCGCAAACTCAATAAGCCTCCAAAAATAAATTACATTCATTTATCTTGTCACCTGAATGACAAAACACAGAGCGTGCTTTCTGAAAAAGCACGAAAAGAATTCTTTGGGAGAATAGCATAAACACTTATTTGGGCCGTTTACAAACTAGTCTCAGATACGAAAGAATAGTCTATGAAACAAACACGTAACTAGTTATATGTAACAGTTCACCTTATGTGGTGTACATCAACAAAGATCTGGTGATAATTAAACAAGTGCAAGACTAACACTAATGATCTATAAAAGTTGAAGAGCTGCACAAGATTCAGAGCATGAACACATTTTCTCCGTCCGCGTATTTACTGTTTAAATACAAATCAGGCTCTAACTGAGCTATTTCGTTTTAGGAACTTTGGTCACCCTTAGTTCGACGGCTATAACAAAGGGCACTTTGCAGTTGGTCCATACAATTGTTATACAAAACTATCAAAAATATTTTAAACATTAGTTCAGAGTTTAGTCCTACCTGGATACATAGCATGGTGGAACAAGGCTCCAGGCATATTTCCATAATAACTAGGAAAACCAGCATACATATAAGGGATAAGTCCAGCTGCTGAGGACGGCGTACTAGATGATTCAGTTGACGTTGTGGGTAAAACAAAGTCATCTAAAGTGTGATTTTCTTGCGAAGAATTCGGTGCTGGCGTAAGATTGTCCTCTTTTTCTTCTTGTTTATCTTTAATGGATCCGAGGTCTCCATTGGCAGTGGTTTCTTTTCTCTGGCCAACGGATGAATCGAGAGAGGTCTCGTTTTTAAGTTTATCCAGATTGGTGGAGGCACTGCCGAAACTGGGAAGACCGCCAGTAAGTCCAGACATACTTACCATTCCCGTTTGCTTAAGGGTGGAATTCACAGTTGGCGACGAACTACTCACACTATTACTGGTTACGTGGTTAGGCGTTGTCATAGGCTCATAGCTTGGAGCCGTATCTGAGTCTTGGCCGTCTGTGAGTTTTTTTAGGCTATCTATATGATTTTTCAGATTTTCGATATGCTTCTTAGAAAAAATGTGCTCTTGAAGCGTCGAAGGAGAAAACTTTAGGTTGTACTTGACATTGCAGAGTGTACATTCATCACTCACTTTTGACGGCTCCATTTCATGGCCGAATGTTTTTACGAAAGCGAGTTTCGCTTTCTTTTCTTTCGCTCTGGCATTCTGGAACCATACCTGTACTACTCGCTTAGGAAGACCAATTTCTTTACCTAGAGATTCACATTCGCACATTGATGGTGTTTTATAATCTACAAAAATCGATTTCATAACTTTTAATTGAACTGTAGTCATTTGAGTCCTGAAGCGTTTGCTAGAACTAGATGAATATCGACTAGATGGAGATGTGGGATTGCTTTCCTCACCATCCATGTTATCAGTCGATTCAGAATAGGTCTCGGATCGTGCATCATCCATTAGACCACCTCTTGATGTTCCATCTTCAAGATGAAATCGCTCAGCTAAACTCCCGTTGCTTTTCTCCATCAGAGCTTTAAGAGGTTTGCTGAGATCTAATGGAGATTCACCTTTCGTTGGACTTTCAGCTGCAGATGATTTCTCAGAGGCTTTGCAAAGAGACATATCAGTTACCAGGGACGGATCTTTGCAGTTTTCCCTGGAATTTGGTATTCCACATAATTCATCTAGATATTTTCTAAGCGAATCTTCGTAATAGCGTTTCATAGTACTGTTAACGACATCCGTTGAGTTGGAAGGAAAATTTTGGGAGGGTGAGGCACCTGATGTTAAAGTTTTGTCTTCAGATGGACTTCCAGGATCTTCTGGATTAGAATCACATTCACCATCTGGGAGAGCATCGATATTAATGTCACCTTTCGTATACTGGTCAGCATGCCTCGTAGCAAGATGTGATTCTAAAGCAGATCTTGCCTTAAAAAGCGCGCGACAGAAAGGGCATCTTTTATGAATAACTTGTTGGTGGGCCCTGAACTGTCCTTTCCTTTCTCTCGCTCTTGTATTTTGAAACCAGACTTGCACGACTCTTTTTTTAAGACCTACTTCTCGCGCGATATTTTCTAACATTTTCCTACTAGGATTGCTTTCTACTTGATATTGCTGATATAGATAGTCTAATTGCTCTGGTAATATAGTAGTTCTAAGTCTTTTGTCTCTAGGATGGTCACTCTGCGATTCCTCGTCATCCGACATTTTCCGCTTCATTTGTGCAAGCGGCAAAGAACCAGGTCCTGTAGGTGTATCATACTGTAGGACAGAAAAGGAAGATGGCTGGTAATTTGAGAAAAGGTTTGGATTCATCATATGAACCAGCTGGTGTTCCCGCCAAAGATCAAACCTAGGAAATGACAAACTGCACTTATCGCATCGGTAAGTGCCATTCTGATTGCTATTTCCAGAGAATTTTTCAGAGGTTCGAGGCAACGAGACTGGTGTTGAAGGAGCCAAAGAAGTTGCTAGTGTTGGTGTTGCAGCCTGGGATGATCTCTCATCACCAGACATAACTTTGATTTGAACAGCTAGCGGGTTCTCATCTTTAAAACAGGAACTTTTCTGGTGTTTAATTAATTCGTAGTACCTTTGGAAAACCTGCAAGCACTTTTTGCACTGATAATTCAGTCCAGGTGTACGCTGAAATCTTCCAGCATTTTCTTCTTCTGCAGTGATAGGAGGTTGATTCTCATAGACTTTCCTTGCCTTCTGACGAGCATTTTGAAACCACACTACAATCACTCTGGGACTCAAGTTCAGAAGTTTGGACAGATATTCCAAGTCATCATCTTTAGGATAGGCATTAGTTTCGAAAAATTCTTGCAAGACTTTAATTTGATAATCAGTGAATCGAGTACGGTTAGCTCGCTTACCTGATGAGGAACAAGATGGCGTGGGTGTGCCACTAGGCGTACCAGTGGAATGTGGTGATTCAGAAGTTGGAGGAGATGCAGATGTTGGTGGCATAAGAGGCATCATGCTAGATGTACTTGCAAAGGGGTTTAGATTACAAGAAAAGCTTTCAGCTAAAGAAGTTCTTAAGTCCATTGACATCAAGGCAGATGAGGTAGGTGCACATGAGGTGGCACAAGATAACGCATCTGACATTGAAAATAGATCTGACGCGGCTGACGTCATGCAAGAACTGAATGAAATATTATTTTCATTACGTTTACTTTGCGGCTGCTGTTCCACTTTTTGACAGTCATTATTCGAATACCTTTCTATTTTAACTTCTTTTGAATTCATTTCAGAAAATTCGTCGTTTTTTTCACTTTCATTTAAAGTCTGTTCTTTCTTTTCGGAGCTTTGGCTTTCAGAAGTCTTTGGTGTATTTGGCTTCTCGTTATTAACGGGAGTTATTTTAGCTTCCCCTGTTTTCTCATATTCTTCTAAATTTAGGTAAGTGGATGGAGGATTATTGAAATTGTAAGGAGAATCCTTATTCCGTTGTCTCTCCTTGAAAAGAGTATTGCGAAACCAATGCTTGATAACTTTCAGGGGCAGCCCTGATTTATCTGACATTTCGAGCAGCTGGTCTTCAGTAGGCGAGTTGTTGATGTCAAAATAAGCTCGTAATATTTTGAGCTGATCGTCATTGATTCTAGTCCTAGCTCTTTTCTGCTGTTGGGAGAGTTGCTGTTGCTGAAGCAGCTTCTGTTGAGCAGCGAAAAAGTTGGGATCCACGGCTGCCCCCGGCATCATTGGATGGCCAAATGCCGCCGCCGATGCAGCCATTAGAGGATCCAACGGCGGAGGCATCATGAGCGGTATGAGTGGGGGATGCATGTTCATAGCGGCTGCAAAAGGCAAATTCATATTCATACCCATATTCATTGACATAGGAAGGCCCATGCCAAGACCCATGCTCATCAGAATCTGGTTAAATTGCATTTGAGCTGCCATGTGATTAGCTGTCACCGAAGATGCCACATCTGGCATCTGAGATCCTAAAGATGTTACAGGGGGTGTCACAGCACTAGGCAAAGAAAGTGGCGTTGCCCCAGATGGAGTGGCAGGAGTAGATGAAGGTCCCGTGCTGAGTTCCCCGCTTGAAGATGGCGATGGAGCTTCTGCCAAATTGTTAACATCGTCGATGACAGATACAGATGCATTACGTCGCTCATAATCATCCCGAAACTCTTCAGCAAATTTTTCAACTTCTTTCAAGGGGACAATATCTTTATGGGCCTCTTCTTGGTGAGCTTTAAGAACCCATATACCCGAAAAGCCTTTGCCACATTTATTGCAAATAGATCTGTTGATTTCTGGAAGGTCAAATTTTCTTTTCAGAGATTCTTTTTCTCCCTGCTCATTATTTTTTAAGTCATTTTCCTTTTGCTCTTCTTTTTTGTCAACATCTTTCTTAGGCCGCCTCTGAGAATTTTCATTAAATTGCATTACGACATCGAATCCGAAACTTTCCAGCAAATGCCTAAATATTAACGGTTTAGGCCGCAAGAATGGAAATCTGCTTCTAAACATTTGCTGCCCTGGCGTCGGACTTCTTTGCGTAGCTGAATGATTCATCTGAATTACTGGCGAAGCCGATGTCTCAGGATGATTCATTGATCTCTGCTGCTTTTCTGGAGGCTCATCTCTTTCTGTCTGTTGCCTCTGCTGCATTTGTGTAAGAGTTGGTGGTATCAGCGGTGGTTGAGATGCAGTAGGTGCAGCATTAAGAATCGGTGGCAGTTGCGTTTGCGCAAAAAAGCAGTACATCTGTTGATGTTGTAAAAGTGCTTCTTGCGACGCGCACATCGTACCGCACCGTGAGCAGGAGAAAGGAGGTGATACTTGAGACTGCATAATTGAAGAGGGAGGCATAAGATTTAAAGCTTGTTGCATGATGTTATTATGGTCTGGGTGCAAAGGAAATGAAAACTGAGGAGAGGATGCGACAGGCGTCACAGAACTGGTAGTAGTGGTAAAAACTGCTTGTGCTGAAGGTTCGGATATTTTTGTATTTTGAGCAGATACAGTTACAGAATTCGATGTTGGAATATCAGAAACAGAGCCCGTTATATCAGGAGTCTTCGTTTGATTTTGTTCCGCTGAGGGCGCAGAATCTGGCCGCTCGATTGCAGGTATACTCAAATCAAGTTCATTAAGTTTCGAAGCTTTCGTTTGATGAAGCACAGATCGAATATGGATGTCAAGTGTCGATGCTTGAGTATACGATACTTTACATAAGTTGCACTTGTACGGTTTCTTTTCACCTTCGTTTATTGCGGATGATTGCGAAACATTAGTAGTTGTGCTGTTAGCATTCGCTGAAGAGATAGTTGGTAAAACAGGTGAAGACACTCTGGTACTCGGAGCACTTGATGTTGGTGTAGTTGAATTTGCTGTATTATTTTCTTTCATACTTAACTTTAATTTATGCAGATGAGACACCGAATTAAAATGGACTAGAAGTATGTTCTTTTGAGTGAATGATTCTTTGCAAACTTCACATTTGAAAGGCCTATTAGGATCTAAATATTTTTCCATAGGGTAACTCATTTTTTCTCCCTTTCGATGCAAAAGAGTTTTATTATGGCTAGTCAAATAACTTTGCCTGGTGAAGGCAACTTTACATCGATGGCACTTATATTTCCGATTGGGATCATTATAACTATCTTCTGCCATTGCCTGACTATTGATATAATCTTCTAATACTTGCTGTTCTTTGGTTTCATTTCCCTCTTCTATGAGATCATCGGTAATATCAGAATCGTCAGCGATACTGATAGTTTCATCAGGCAGGTCGTCATCAAGCTCTTCTCGATTACTTTCTTTCTTGAGAAGTTCTGTAGTTTGAGGATCAAGAACTCCTCCGCTTGCACCACCGTTTCCTGTTAACAGTGGATTGTTCATCAAGCTAGCGCGGTATTGCTCAAGTTCATCTTTCGTCATATCCGAATGGGATGTTTCTACATGTTTTTGTAAAGCTAGTACAGTTCTAAAACTTCGTCCACAAAGTACACACTTAGTTGCAGCGCGTATTATGTGGTACTGCATATGTAATTGTAATTTTTCTGAAGTTTTAAAAGCAAGACTACACTGGGTACATCGGTATTTATACACGTGTCTCTCAGATACAGGAATATTTGACTTCAAAGCATGCATTTCCTTGTAATGGAATTGGGTAGCAGTCATTGTTCCAAAAAAGAGACCACAACCTTTCTTCCAACAAAAGAATCCATTTCCTTTTGGTGTATTTTTATATTCTAGATGACCCATCTCATTCTGGTGACAGAAAAGATCTTCAACTTGCGTGAAAATTCTGCCACAAGCAGCACAGGTGAAATCTTCTTCGTCTTTGCCGTCGCTATCATCACTTCGACATTCCAAATCAGGCATTTCTTGTTTAACTTCAATACCTTCGTCTAAACTAGTATCACTGTTCGTAGTGCTAGCTGATACTGGAGTAGCAGTTGGTCCATTAGTTATAGGTTTAGGAGGTACAGTCTCGTTCTCTAATTTAACGTTGTTTTCTGCTTGTTGTTTGTCACTACCAGCAGCAGTTTGGGCGGCCATCCATTCAGTTTTGTCGACTAGTGCCATGAGTCTTTTCACACCCTCTTTGTTTACATGATGTGTGTCCATAAGATGATTCTCTAGGATACCCCATTCTCTAAAGCTATCTTGGCACAAGGGACAAGCAAGAGTTGAAGGCTTTTGCGAGTGCTGGGCGACAACATGCATTTGAATTCTCACTTCGCTGCTGCTCGTGTAGTTGCAGAATGGACATGTGTGCTGGGGTGACTCTGAGCATGTTTCGGAAGTGCTTCTGTCAAGCAAAGCCTGCTTTAGCATAGACGTATCGGAATTCTTGAAAGAGCCATTCTCATCCTTGTTCCGTTCTTCTCCTATCACATGAACCTCGTTCCTGCTGTCAAAGTTTTTGACATCTGTAACATAAAAACAGAGAAAATCGTAAGAAAAAATACATATCTATTATTAATACCTGTAAAATGAACTACAAAAACATGCATTAAAAACCCCATTATCTTTTAATAATAAAATTCTCTTATCAGCGATTAGTGAATTGCTTATCAGGAATTATTGCAAGATAAATAACTAAAAAACTTGTAAGAATTAAAGAACTGGCTCGAAAGATGAAATTTTTACCACCGCAAAAGAATTACTGTTATTACATTTGACTTGCCATAACTTTATTTAACGGATTACTGAAGTTTTAATGCAGCTACACTTAATCTTCAACGCACTCTTTTACGCGGATTACAGCAAAATGGTTAATTCCACAAAGCTCTGGAAGCAAATACTTTTTTTGCATATTCGACTGTTAATTCTCACAAGAAAATATGTTCCAAGTTATAAGTGTAATCGCATAGAACTCTTCCAAGCAAAAAACATTACAAATTAATCATGATAAATATATCTGTAAATGATTCTGGTGTATTTACAAGTTTTAACAATATAAGTACAATATTTGCCATTGTAATAATACATTGCATTAAAAAATAAAAGAAACGACTAAGTGGAAATTCAGGATACTTGATATTAACAATGCACCGCGTACGTATAATGTTATTCTGCTTCATTGCCTGCAGGAGTCAAATTAAAGGATTCGAAATTTATAAAGAACACCAAATCAATATAATAAAGAGGCAGTTAAAAAACGGAAAATCTTAGCACCTTCAGTCACAGGATAGGAAGCAAAAAATGGCAATATAAAAACCAAAATAACTAAATAAAATAAGACACTATCAGAATAAATTAAGAAGAGATAAAAATGTGATTCTGAAATATTTAAATTATCATGTAAAGCAAATACTTGTATTCCAAATAGTAAAACTATTTGGAATACAGGAATACACTCAACAATAATTTGGAACACAGATAATAGGTAATAAAACCAGACTGACAGAGTTTTACACACAGCTGCTGATTGTTATTTGTATTAAACTTCAGATCGCCGAGGAACGAGACAGTAATATCTTAAAAAGAATCTATAAACAGGAATAATATATAAATTTGTGCCATATACTTTCATACATATAAAAAATAAACTGATCAAGATACTCGTAATGTAAGACAAAACAGAGAGTAACACTACAGCAATTACACCATTTAACAATGATAAATGATGAATATTTTCCGCTCGCTATACGCACCTAATACGAGTATTAACAAGACATTGGGCATGCATGAACTGCCAAACTAAATGACTCTCAACTTGGTCTCAAGCACTCGGTTTCGGCAAACTGCAAGACTAAGTACACTTTAAATTGTATATCCCAGAAACGGGAAATAAATCACGTTGGGGACATGAGTTCTCAAAGATCGATTCGCCTTCATTTGCACATGAATTGCATTAAAAGCTCGCGCTTGATTTGCAAATTGCCGGTCTACAATTATGCAAGGAGGTGATCCAGACACCTTTGCGTGCACAGGACGCGAGAAAAGTCATTCCCGTTAACTCACCGATTCTTCCGTGAGAGATCGGCAAAAAAAGGTTACATACATGGATTTAAATTTTGTGTCGCCTCTTCGCAGTAAAACCTGATAGGTACTGGGATCAGTTCACGAAACCATTAAATCCTCACGATTTGTTTTGAAACTGCTCATTAATAAATTAACTCTTTATTGCATATGGTATCAGGTTCGGTACAGAAGTTATTTTTTCCTACTCATATTCAGCTTTCCCAATCCCTTCTGCACCCATTGTGTTAATTTTGAAACATACAATGTGCATCCATAATATAAATAAATGATTTTCTGGCGATAAATGGCAGAATATATCACACTCGAAAATAAAAGCCCTTTCTTTAAGTCGTAACACATATGCTCAAACTTTACAGAAGGATCTTAACAGAGCCCCTCGGACAGATCTGTCAAAGGCTCCTGTTCCTAAGAGAAGATCTCTCGAAGGTGATCACCTTTGGACAGTCCTTAGAAGGATCTAACTACAGCGGGATTTTAACCATTAATCAGTATGGCATGGGGGGAGGGAAGAAACATCGTATCTACTCCGTAGTAGCTTTCATTTACTTGAAAGATTTTATATTTATGATTTGACCATACCAGTTAAGGTCAGGCTTACGTAATCGGTTATAGCAAAACATACCTGGAGAAGGGATGCCTTTCATGCCAGGCCTTCCAAGGAAAACCGGCTCATATTCAATTTATATATCGGTAAAGCTATTAAAATACCTATGCATTTAGTATAGTAGGATAAATAAATAGTAGGTTAAATGAAAGCAAAATGAAAATCATTTATCACTGGATTATTAATGTTTATCAAATTGTCTAAATCAGTGTTTCCAAAGGGATTCGGCACTGACCCTTGGAGGTCGATGAAATTTTAAAGGGGGAGAAGGGTCAGTGATGATTAAGGGGTCGATAGCCGAATATGCTTCCGCAAATGAGCATAACCCAGCATAACTGATTACACAAAAAAGTTATTGACAAAATAGATAATTAATTATTTATGTATATAAAGCTGTACAGTGTAGTAAGAAAGAAATCATATAAAATAAATATAAGGAAGCAAATGTACTAAAATTATTTAATAGATTTTAAAAATCAATAACATTTTTTAAAATATATAAATTTTTTATGCAGGAAGTAAAATATTGAAAAGTAAAACGCAAAAGCAAAACAAAACACCAAGAACGCAAAACAAGAAACAAGTTGAACAATTTTGAACGAGGTGATTTAAAAATTAAATTAAACAATTTTATGCCAAATTAAGAAAACAATTGCATTAATACATCGAGAGCAACCACCGTATTAATTAAAATCTAAGTTTTATGCGATTAGATTCTGTGATTTGGTGTCTGAACCACCGTATTAATTAAATCTAGTTTATGCATAGATTCGTGATTGGTGTCTGAAACTTTTATAAAAACAAAAAAATATTATAATTAATTATTATAAATTCAATAGTTTTTTTTTTTTCAAAATTTTTGTTCCTATTTTTAATCGAATTGTTATATTTACATTACTTAGGTGTAATTATTTGCATTGTGATTATGTGGAATACTGTATATTATAGAGACAAATGTAAAAGCGTCGATGCAAGAAAAAGGCTAGGGAATCTCTGATCTAAATAAAATGCATTTAATGTCCAAGATTACCGTCAGCAAATTTCTCCTGAGAAAACGGAATTTGACAGTTGATTCTCAGAGAGAAATATTGCAAATCCACTGCTCCAATGTGGGAAGCTCCTCCCAAGGTTGCGATAACGATGTGCAGTTAGGCAATTCGCTTACGGTCAATGGCAGTCGACTGACGAGTAATTTAATTATATCATAACACATTTGACACAGCCGTAACATTTGGATATAACAACAGATTCAAATGTTACGGCTGTTTAACCTACCGTTGGACAGCTGATTTACAGTTTCGAAAGAAGTCAGAAGCCATGCTAATATAGGTCGATATTATTGCTTTCACCTAGAATTCAATAGTGGAAGAAAACTTTTGCCAAACCGCTACGTTCAATCAAGGATCAAAATGGAAAAAAAAAAGGCAAGATACACACTAAATTTACAAAAACGTCAATCTTGTAGAATTAAGGTTTCTAGCGTGCTAATGCGTAAAGGGTCTGGAAGAAGTTCATCTTGAGAAGGCTTAAAGTGTGAATCATTGAGGTAAGAATAAAAGTAGACGTCATCCCCGTATGGCTGACGCAGTGCAGCTGAGCTTCGGTAGCTAAAGGGGTGTGTGTTTTGTTTACATCTAGAGCATATTATTTTGACAGCAATTTGGTAGTACTACTTTCGCATAAAAGACACATTCATTGTTGGATGGATAGTTTTAATTTGTATACTTTAACAGCATAAGCGATTCTGATTATGAATTTGTTTTATAAAATTCTCTAATATATTTGAATATATACTACAAGTTAAAAGAAAATTCTTAGTGCTTACGCTAAAAAGTAGCGTAAAGTTGTATCACTTTTCAAATTGTTGCCACCAAATACTATCGCACTGCATTACATAAAAAAAAATTAAATATTGAAGAATCTGCACGAATGTATGTTTTCCGCACTGTGAAAAAGCACTGGTAACTAGAGCCTTCAAATTTTGAATAAAGTAGTCCTCTACTCGAATATGGGCACTTGGAGGCCTTAATTTTGAATTTCGAATTTTATATTTCGTATTTTGTAAAACTTTCATATTTTTTTTATTAACAAACTCAACGATTTGAATGCCAGCAATGACAACATTGTACCGAATAAAACATATTTATCTCCAGCGCGCGAGACTATCTGTAGGAAATTCTAAAGTTATGCTGTTTTTAAATATTTCGTGATTTTGCTGTTGAATCGAATTTTATGTGGCGTAAGCGCTAAGAAAGTGATAAAAAAAAAAAAAAAAAAAAAGTTTTCTAGAGCCATCTTAGTAAGGAAAGTGAACATAGATATGACGAATTGAGAAAAACTGGTTGGGGGGGGGAATACTCTTAACGCTGCATCCAGAATTCTAAACGTTGCTGTTTATAAATGTTTGGTAATTTAGTTGTTGAATTGTGAATGGCGTAAATTCGAATAAAATGCTAAATAATAAAGCTAAAAAGATGTTTTAAAAAAAGTTAGTAGGAATAAGAATAGCAGCAGACTGCTAGACTGAGAGCAAGAGCGTTAAAAAGACCTTAACAAACCCTTCTGGGCGACCACTAAATCTAAAATCCTTCAGTTTTTTTTTTTTTTAATTACATTTATTTTGTACAAAACTTATCTTATTTCATGGTCAGTTATTAACAGAGTTGTGAGGAAAAAAATGATAATAAAGTTCTTTCTCTTTTTTTAAAATTTTATTTAACGACATGTTTGATTGATGACTAAATGCAATACAAAATGATGAATGAAAAATCTTTGTCACTTAACACGAACGAAACTAAATTGTATTTCTTAATCTAATCTCTAATATAAGCAGAAGAA